TTTATGTGTGGATGATTTCCTACCTTTATGTTTGCTTTTACTGGTGAGCTTTCCGATTAGTAATTTTGTTTCTAGTTGTCGCTTTTTCTGTTCCGTCTAGAGAAGTTCCTTTAGCATTTGTTGTAAAGCTGGTTTGGCGGTGCTGAATTCTCGTAGCTTTTCATTGTCAAATCTGAATGAGAGCCTTGCTGAGAAGAGTACCCTTGGTTGCAGGTTCTTCCCTTTCATCACTTTAAATATATTGTGCCTCTCCCTTCTGGCCTGCAGAGTTTCTCCTGAAACATCAGCTGATAACCTTATGGGGATTCCCTTGTATTTTATTTGTTAGTTTTCCCTTTTTACTTTTAATATTTTCTCTGCCTTTAATTTTTGGCAGTTTGATTAATATGTGTCTCGGTGTGTTCCTCCTTGGGTTTATCCTGTATGGGACTCTGTGCTTCCTGGACTTGGGTGACTGTTTTCTTTCCCATGTTAGGGAAGGTTTCAGGCATTATCTCTTCAAATATTTTCTCAGGTCCTTTCTTTCTCTCTTCTCCTTCTGCGGCCCCTATAATGTGAATGTTGGTGTTTTTAATGTTGTCCCAGAGGTCTCTGAAACATTCTTTTTTCTGTTCCATGGCGGTGCTTTACACCATTCTGTCTTCCAGCTCACTTATCCGTTCTTCTTCCTCATTGTTCAACTCTGTTGTTTAAATCTCTTGGCTCTTTCTTAAACCTTTCTTGTATCTTCTTGGTCTGTGCCACCATTCTTTTTCCGAGATCTTGCATCATCTTTACTGTCACTACTATGAATTCTTTTCCTGTCTCCACTTCACTTAGTTGTTGTTCTGGTGTTTTTTCTCGTTCCTTTGTCTGGAACGTATTTGTCTGCTGTCTCATTTTGTGTAACTCTGTGTTTGCAGTCCCACAGGCTGCCCACTGGTGGGTGGAGCTGGGTTGTAGCTGGATTGTAGTTCCTCTTGGTGTGTGCCACCTTGTGGGTGCGGCCGGTCTAAGAGGCTTGTGCAGGCTTCCTGGTGGGAGGGACTGTTGGCTGCCCACTGGTGGGTGGAGCTGGGTTGTCCCTCTGGTGGGTAGGGCATGTCAAGTGTTGTGTTTAGAGGTGGCTGTGGACTCAGGAAGACTTGAAACGGTCTGTCTGCAGATGGGTGTGGCTGTATTCCCACCCTGTTTGTTTCTTGGCCTGAGGAATCCCAGTACTATACCCTAAGGGCTGTTGGGTGGGGTCAGGTCTTGGCTTCAAAATGGTGGCCTCCAGGACAGCTCATGCCAATGAGTGCTCCCCAGTACCTCTGCCAACAGTGTCCTTGTCCCCACAGTGAGCCACAGGTGCCCCCTCCCTCCCCAGGAGACCCTCCAAGACCAGCAGGTAGGTCTGGCCCAGGCTCCTATGAAGTCACCTCTTTTTCCCTTGGGTCCCGGTGTGCATGAGACCTTGTGCGTGCCCTCCAAGAGTGGCGTTTCTGTTTCCCTCAGTCCTGTGGAGTTCCTGTGATCAAGCCCCACTGGCCTTCAAAGCCAAATACTCTGGCCTCTCCTCCTCTTGATGCAGACCCCCAGACTGGGGAGCCTGACATGGGGTTCAGAACTCTCACTCCTGTGGGAGAACCTCTGTGATATAATTATTTTCCATTTTCTGTGTCACCCACCCAGCGGGTATGGGATTTGATTGTATCATGAACGTGCCCCTCCTGCTGCCTCGCTGTGGCTTCTTCTTTGTCTTTGGAAGTAGTATATCTTTACTGGTAGGTTCTGGCCCTTTTTTGTTGATGGTTGTTCAGCAGTTAGTTGTGATTTTGATGTTTTCATGAGAGAAGGTGAGCTCTGGTCTTACTACTTCTCCATCTTGTTAGGAAACCAAAAAACTATTGATTTTTAAACTCAGCATTCAGGTAGGCCATTATGATTTCTTTCTCTGCCTATGTGAGAAAAAGTGTGCTTCCACAGCAAAGAAATGTGGCATTTAGACACTGTTTATTATTTATATTCTTTTAAAACTTAGGGCCAACTCTTTTAACAGTACATTTGTACAGTCAGTGAATTTGTGCCCTTTGGTTTCTGGAATGCCAGCTGAGTTGAACCATTAGTAGACTCAGAGATAGATTAGTTTACTAACAGATTGCTCATCCTATGAGGTGTTACATTTTGCATTATTATGTGGAGATATATGGTACAGAAATAGTTTTAAAGGAAACATGTCAGCCCATACCTGAACAATAACTGGCTTAAATTATTTTGTCACGTTACTTTAAATTAAATACTGTACAGATGGACACTCTTGTGCTGGTAGGCGTGGTCAGAGGGAGATAGCGCAAGGGGAGCCAGAACTTGAAGCACTGGTGGGAACTGGGTTAGGAAGGCAGGTGTATAAGTGTTCGTTTCAGTATTTTGCAGAGGACTGCAGCCCTGCAGGATAGAGTCACTTGAGCGATGATTCAAGGCATTCAGTAGTGGGTCTAGATGCTTGCGCTGGGGGCAAGGTGTTGATCAAGGTAAGTGCCCCAGTTGTCTCTCAACAAAGGACTGACTTTTGAACGTGAGGCAGTGACATTTCGTAAGTTTCTTTTGCGTTTTTTCTGCTCAGGGGCAAGAACTATTTAACTAAGAAGTGGTTTGATTTGATCCTGACTGGAGCAAGGATGAGGCTTAACTCTGATGAAAGGTGCAGATTTGAAGATACCAAGTGTTGCACAGATGAGTGAGGGTAAAAGGCATGGGAAGAAGAAAGGAGTTAACATTGGTAGTCAGACCCACTGCAGTGACGGTCCACAAATGCCTGCAGAAATTATTTCACTCTTAAGGGTCAGCATAAACTTACTCTGCTCTGGCATAATAAGAAATACATAAATAATTTGATCTATGTCCCAGGTTGCTGGCATACCGCTTCCAAAGCCCTTGGAATCTCAGGAGTGGTAAGAGTGCTTCTGTACCCCCGTCCGGCAGCTTCAGGACAGGGCTGTTGGCCGGAGTAGCCAAGCACGTGATCAGAGGGTGGAGAGATCCCCGTGATCTGGGGAGGAGAGAGGGCCTGGAGACTGAGCTAGCCAGTCTGATTTAATCAGTCATGCCCATGTGATGAAGCCTCCCTAAAAGCCACTGAACGAGGGGCTTGGACAGCTTCCAGGTTGGTGAACACATCTAGGTGCTGGGAGGGTGGTGTATCCATGCCCCCTCTCACGCCTTGCCCGACACATCCCTTCTGTTGGGCTGTTTCCCCAGTTGTATCCTTCATAGTAAACTGGTGACCGCAAGTGAAGTCATCAGTTTTTGATTTTGTTGTTGTTGTTGTTGTTTTTTTACAGAAAAGAAAGTCAAACTTATTTAATGAAAAACTAGAAATAATAAAAATTAGCAAATGCACACACACAAAATATACACACACAGCAGCACTGTGTATTGACTCACATAGGGGAAAAGCAGTGGTCCAAGACCTCTCATCATGGCTTGTCAGTTAAAGAAAAAAATACCCAAACACACACACATGCATGCACGCACAAAAAGCAACAGAAAACAAGAACCCAGTATTTTTCAGCAGTACACTCAATACAGCCAACACAAATTCAGAATTATTTTACAGCACTTCCTTCCTTAATACAAAAGATGCCCATCTTGGGTGTGTATATATATATATATATATATGTATTTTTTTTTTTTCAGTGGTTTACTGTTGACGTATTTTTAAATATATTAGTGTTACTACATGCGACTGTTTCCTGTATTTAAGAGCCTTTCCTTTTATTTACCTTCATGTGCCCAAAGCTTCCGGTTGGTAGGCAGACAGGTAAATTGTTTTCCTGAGTTCTGTGAGTTATCCTGGTGAATTGTCGAAGCTGAGGAGGGAGTCTGGGAGCCTCCAAATTCATAGCCAGTCAGTAACAAGGCCAGGTCGCAGCCTGGGAGGTGCAGCTGGCACCTGGAGCGGGGCCAGTCTTGTTGGACTGAACCTGTGGATCCTGACGATGACCCCAGGCAGTCTGTCAGAAGTTAAGTGAATTGTAGGACGCCCACTTGGTGTCCAGAGAGGTGGAGAGTTGGTGGGTGAGAGAGAAGCCCACACGTGTGGTGTCAGAAGTGTTGTGAGTAAAATTAGCCCATCTACATCACGTAGGGTACACACGTCTGTGTAGGTGCTTCTTTGCCACGGTCAGTTCATAAACTCCGAACTTACCTACGTGCTGTGTCTGCGGGCCCCGTTCTTCTTTCCGTGCCCCTTTAATCCCTGAACAGCACGTTGACTTTCCCGTCTTCTCGCGCGCTCTCGTGTGATCTGTGCAGCTGGCCACGCTTGGCTTTTCTCTAACAGTGTGCTTGTGTACCTCCTGTCCCCTTGGACAGCCTCTCTGACTGCGAGGTTTGTCTCAGTGGATCCCCGTCCACCAGGCCATCCTGGGCCCTGGCCCTTCCTGCTCCGATCAGGTCCACCGCCACTCACAGCTGGGGACAGAGGTGGCAGAGGTCATCCTGTGGATGGTGTCAGTACTGGGCAGTTACTCTCTAACGAGATGAGAGGGAAGCAGTGTGGCACGTTTGTCATGGCTTATCACCAGCATGATTCTTAACATATGTTTTTATTTTTCATACAAGTACCAAGCATAGTGCCTGGCAAACTGAAGGGATCACAAAATGTTTGTTGAATTGAAAGGCTCATAACAGCGGTCATAAATCTGTTACCAGAAAGATGAGAATGCATCAGTGAATAAAGACTCAGATGGTCTTCACTTTTTAGTCCGTGCAGATCTCTAAAGGAATGCAGTGGTGCTCAAATGAAAATTTTATGTGACTTTATCCTTTTTAGTGCTCCCAGTGGCCTACTCTACTGTGGGTAAAAATCCAGAAACACTTCACAGGAACACTTTTAAGTATTTTGGTGTTGAGTAAAAAAGGTTTTAAAAAGGCAGAACATCTTATATTTGACTTGTTACTTGCGTATATTCTTAGAAATGGAGATTGTGTAGATTGTCTAATTTATACTGAGTAATGTTAGATTTCCTGTTTTTCAGAGGTGTAGGCGTAAGAATGACAGACCCAGTGTATCTGAGCCCCTCATTTGACAACGTACTGCCTAGCTACTTATTTTTACAAGTAAGTATTTGTAAAAGCAAAATACTTAGTGACACTGAAATATACTTCAGCGAATTATTTGAAATCTAAGGGTTTGTTTTTTCGCTTCTATTAACTTTTTTTTTTGCAGTTTATTTATGTTTTCTGATTTACCTTTGGTTAAGTAGTAAGGAAAAGCTTAGTAATAAGCACTTTCTCTTTTTCTCAAGTGATGAACTACCTTTTCTCCCTTCATTTGCCCAGCGGTGCTTATCGTAGGATAATAAGCATAGTACATAGGGTGAGAAGGCGTGCGCAGGGCGCTGCCGCGACTCCGGCTCACCCTTAGGAAAGGAAAGGCTCCGCCGTGTGAGACGGCAGGGTCTGTGTCATTTCTTTCAGGCACCAGTTCTGAGCTTTAGTTTGAGAGCTTCTTCCTGAATGTGCTTTCCTTCCTCTTTCCTACCCTCAAGTTTAATAAATATGGTTGTACTTTTCTTATTATAAAATGTCTGTAACTGCTGTTAAAAAAAAAAAAAAACTACTTAGTTTAGCTTATTGTAATGATTGCTTTCCATTTCCACTATTAACCCCTAAATAAAGCACGCAGTTGCTATACATGTAACTGTTCCATGTGTAAGTCTGAGTGAGATTCACATGGTTTACTACTAGCAGATTTTGGTCAGACGGTTATCAATTGCTGTGATATAACAAGTAATTTGTTTTCCATTGTCCAGTTTATGATGTACTTTCATGTACATTAGCTCATATGATTTGTTACAGTCTGCTTGTTAGGTGGCGTTTTTATTATTTTATTATTAGCAATGTAACATGAAGATACTAAAGGCCAGATCTGATCAGGTTCTTGAATAAGGTCGCACAATTGGTAGGTAGTAGCATCTGTACCCTAACTTAAGCGTAGATGACATTTGCTTTCTACTCTGCTTAGTGTGTAACCAAAAGTCATTTTATAAACCCAGAGATTAATTCTGGGGTGAACAAATAGAAAAACAGATTTACGTTTGTCATCTGATTCTACATTAGTGATGATGTAAACCGTTAGGATGCATAACCTAATATAAAGTCATACACGGTTACGTAGAATCTTCTTCAGTAGTTTCTGCCAGCCTTTTTTATTACTTTCTATTTTTTATTTAATTTTTATTAAAAAATTTTTTTTTAGAGAAACAGTTCCCAAGAGTGCTCTTCTTTTTTTTTTTTAAATTTATTTATTTTATTTATTATTTATCTTTGGCTGTGTCGGGTCTTCCTTGCTGCATGCGGGCTTTCTCTAGTTGCGGCAAGCGGGGGGCTACTGTTCGTTGCGGTGCCCGGGCTTCTCACTGCGGTGGCTTCTCTTGTTGAGGAGCTCGGGCTCTAGAGCACAGGCTCCGTAGTTGTGGTGCACGGGCTTAGCTGCTCCGTGGCATGTGGGATTTTCCCGGACCAGGGCTCGAACCTGTGTCCCCTACATTGACAGGCGGATTCTTAACCACTGCGCCACTAGGGCAGTCCTGCCAGCCTTTTAAAAAGTGTGGTGTTGTGCTGGGCTCCTTGAATATATTATCACAAGCCTGCACTGGCTGTAACTGAAGAACACTGATACCAGTTCTTGAATGATGTTCAGCAACCTCTTGTGAAGATGAGGTAGTTCATAGGGTGATTGGCTGAATACCTTGTAAGCCCCAGAGTTAGGCAACTAATACTTTGTCCATTCTGTGCGATTATTGAAGGTACTTTACAGAGAGGTAGAATTATATACTTGGGAAAATCCCTGGTGAAATTTGTGGGGTTTTTTTTTTTTGATGCCTCTTGCCTTGCCTTTCTCTGTAAACCATTATCCCCAAATCTGTACTGTTACTTGTTTGCAACAGCTAACGTGGGAGCTTCACATTGTGGGTTCCTTGTTGAGGAGAGGCGGTTGTAAAGGGCTGGTGATAATTGATTATTTCTCACGTAGCAGTTGAAGTTACACAAGGATGTACTTTATAAAGTTAATTGGAGTGTCGCACACAATCATTAAAATTACGAATGTGCAATATTATTTGGTTTTTCAAAACCACAAAGGAAACTTTTGATTTGTCTGACCACAATCCACAGAACTGCAGAAACGCCTTTGATGTCTTTCACGATTGAAATGATTGACAGTGAAAGGTTTAATACTTAAATATTTACAACAGCTGTTTTCAGTTATATTATAGTTGCATTCTAGGTTATCTGGAATCAAAAATGGTGCTCCAAAGTTGATCTTTTCATTGCCTGGTTTCTTGGAAATAATTGATTTAAAAGCCAGATGAGGTTGGATAATCTGAGAGCTTTAATACGTGCTGCTGCCTGGACTCTACCACGTGAATGGGCTTTAGTTGGTCTGGCTGGGGTGGGGCCTGGGTCAGGATGGTGAAAAGCTCTCCCAGGTGGTTCTGGTTTTGCAGCTAAGGTTGAGAATGGCTGTAGCGGTAGCAAGGCTGCACAGCTAGCTGCACGTTAGAAGCACCTGGGGAGATCTTAAAAACACTGATGTCTGGCCCTATTGCCAGAAATTCTGATTTAACTATTCTAGATGACTGCACATTAAAAACAACAAAAGACAGAACTCACCAGGTGATTTTGTCGTGCAGCCAGGATTGAGAAATACTGTAGAGAAAGGTAGTAGATGAAATTGTTTTAGGGAAACTTTGTCATCATTTAAATATTTAATTAAGCCTCTTCACTGGGACTATTTCATGCTTTCAACTGATTGCGTACCAGAAGGTTCTTAACGTATTACGTTGGATTGGAAATTTCTGTCCTCTTTGGCCATTACATTAACGTTATCTTTGTTAGGGGTGAAGCATCACTATCATCTCTAGATGGGGAATCACTGAATCTTCAGTGGCCACATACGTGTTTTAGTGTCTTTATATTAGAGTTCAGTTTTTAATGTGTCGTGTCTTTACGTCCTCTGATTCTGAAACTTAAAATGATCTCAAGTCACTGATAACAAATTAATTTTTTTTTTCCTTATAGAATTTGCCATCTGCTGTAGTAAGTCATGTTCTGGATCCTCAGCCTGGAGAGAAGATTCTAGATTTGTGTGCGGCCCCCGGAGGCAAAACAACACACATTGCAGCGCTGATGCACGATCAGGTGAGGCCGTCTTCGCGCAGAGCTGCTCTTGATACACTGCCTGTCTCAGTGATGGAGGTGGAAGTATGTGTGACTTACGGAACATTGTACAGACATTCATAATCTGGTCGATTCGATTCAACCAAAGAGAAGGCCGCTCAGTGATGTTATTCATCACATATTAAGTTCAGTAGACCATTGTCATTTGTGAAGACTGTCTCAAGACCTTCTTGAATCCCAGATTTGCCTAATACATTTATGGAATAGAATTTTTCCCTCAAATGATTAAGTCTAAATGAAACACTTAAGAGATCTTTTCATGTTCTTAATTACAGGACTTGACACTTTTTAAACTATTCAAATAAATTCTACCACTGAAAGTTAACTTGGCAGCCCGTTATTAAAGTGTCCAAATATATATTGTTGATATATATGCAAATATAAAGATGATAATAAATATATTGGCTTGGCCAAAATGTTCATTCGGGTTTCTCCGTAAGATGTTTTTGGCCAACAGAATACATGCACACATACTGAACGTCTATATGTGTCTGTGTTCTTCTTGCCTTGGGGTTCATAAAAAGCATGATTTGACTTAATTAGTAAAGCCTGCTTCATTGTCACAAAAGAGAAGTCTGTCCTTGGATAACTTTAGCTCAAATGTTACAGCTTTTCCTATGTATGCATATTTGCCGATGTGTTTTCTTGTATCGTGCGCTAGTTTTATCTGTGTTCAGAGCTGTGTGGCCTTGTAACCACTCTGTGCTTCAACTGAGATTCTTCAGCTTGAGGAGGATACGGCCAGTTGATGCTATCTTTCCCGTTTGTTTCAAATTCTGTAAAACCAAATGGTTCCTAAAATGTTTGCACATGCTAGTAGCTTCACCTACAGTATCTTTCTTGATCTAGAGTCAGATTTTAATTGATGGACTGATTAAAAAAATATTGATTTATTCTTACTGTGTGCCAAGTACTGGCGTACGGCAGTAAACCATAGTGACCACAGTTTCCTTCTTCATGGAGCTTACATTCCAGTAAAAGGACACAGATGAGAAACAAATGAGTGAGTAAAAGATAAGGCATATATAGCTGTGGGAGGGGTATGGGATTGGGAATACTGGGGAAGGGAGAGTGAGTTTGCAGTTTGAAGTGGGTGGCGAGGGAGAAGCCCACTGGGAAGGTGGCATTTAAGGAAGACTTACAGGTGGGAAGAATGTACCAGTGAGAGGAGACGTAAGTGCGAACGCTCAGGCTGGATGCTGCCCGACTTGCTGGGGAAACCGGGGTCAGGGTGGGGGACCGTGGTAGTTTTGTGGCGTAGACTAAGTGAGGAGCAGGGTGGGGGTGGGGGAAGAGATCAGAGAGGGGGGGCCGGGGCATGGGCGGAGCAGCTTCGCAGGCTCTTCCGGGACTTCACGTCCGCTCCAGTGATGGGACGCCCTTGGAAGTTTGGGGCAGAAGAGCGACATAAGCTTGCGTGCTCCTTACCTTGGCTGCGGCGTTGCAGACAGGCTGCAAGAGGGCAGCGGCGGAAGCAGGGAGACTGCTTAGGAGACAGCAGTTCAGGGGCGTCATGCAGGTGGTAAGAAGTTGGTCGGATTCTGGGTGTGTTTCGAAGCTGGGGCTGTTAGGAGCTGTTGGTGGATTGGACGTGGGTTGTGAAAATGAGAGGCCAGTGCAGTGTGACTCCTTAGGTGTTTGGCCAGAGGACCTGGAAGGATGGAGCAGCCGGGTCGGGAGGGGCACGTTTTGCAGGGAGAGATCAGCCATTTAGTTTGGGTTATACTGCAATTTGGTCCCATTAGACAGCCAGGAGGTGGCGTGGAGCAGGCAATGGGGTAGTTGAGTCCAGGGTGCAGGAGAGAGCTCGGGACTGGAAATGGAGGTCTGGAAGTCGTCAACACGTGGATAAAACATGCGAGGCCGTGAGGCTGTTGCGGGCGGGAGAAGTAGGGGAGGCTGGAAGGCGAGCTTTGGGGCTGCGGTGCGCCGACGCTCGGGGCTCGGGGAACCAGGAGGAATGGCCAGCGATGCGGCAGGACCACAGAGGCCCATGATGCCCTGGGCGCCGCGCCAGGAAGGGGTCGAAAGGGGACGGAGCGAGCAGCTGGGTGAAACGTCCCGGCGGGGCCAGTGAGGTGAGGCCCGAGAACCCCCTCCCCGTGGACTCAGCGCCTCGTGGGTGATGGCGGTGAGTGGAAACGCCTGCTTGGATGGAAAATGAGAGGAAGCGAAGAAAGTGAATCAGGACAACTCCTTTGCGGGGGCAGGGCACGTTTGTACCGGAGGGCAGAGAAATGGGGCAGCGCTTGGAGGGTGGACTCAGGGAGTCCTTTTTTTAAGATGAGGGAAGCAGCAGTGCATGCTGATGGAGAAGAGCGATTAGAAGGGGAAATTGGTTACCCCCGAGGGAACGGGAAAATGGCTGGAACAGGATCTTGGGGTAGGTGAAATGGGACAGGATTTGATGCACAGTGGCTTTAGATGGTGGCGTGAGACGGTTTATCCGTGGAAGTAGGAGGTAAGGCGGAGGATATGGGCAGAGGTGTTGGTGGACTGGTACACGTGGTGGGAGACTGGGAGTTGGCTTCTGTTGTTCCAGTTTTCTCTGAAAAGGAAACAGGGTCTTCAGAGGGGAATGGGGATGGGGAGGGGGAAGGGCAAGGCAGGGGGTCAGGGGTTTGAGAAGACAGGAAGTGTCGATCTAGGATAAGGAGTGAGAATGGCCTATGGATGTGTCATGAGAATTCAGTTGTGTCCCAGGGCCCCGTGAGTACAGCAGTCATGGATTTAGAGTGAGATGAGTTGGGCTAGTGATGTGCTCTTTGGCTGCGTGGGGGGGATAGACAGGAAGTTGGTGAAGGCCTGGGTTTAATCACAGCTGAGCTTTTGTCCCTTGGATGTGTGAGAAACAGACGCACGTGAGTTGAGGATGTATATAAGGGAGTGTATGTAACGTGCCGTAGAATCTCAGCCGGGTGAAGAGCAGAGCAAGGACACAAGAATAGTGAGGGCCGTGTATCCGTTGTCAGTTTTCTAATTTAGCTCAGATTTATACAGCAGTAAAAATGCTTATGTGCCTAGGAAACTCAGCGGTTTTCTTCCTAGTACTAATTTATAGATAAGAAACAATTACCTACTGAGGTAAGACTTTCTGGCATGGAAACCTCCATGAGGCTGATTTAGCAAAAGCCTTTCTGCTCCAGCTAATTTGCCTGATAAAAGATAAAGTATTTCCCACTCTCGCAAGTGCCAGATGTTGGACTTTTATGTGGTGATACATTTTCTGATCTATATTTGATGATGCTTAGGACTGTCAAGGGATTTACAAGCAATCTTGCACAGAAAATAGTTGGAAATTGTACTGTGTCAAGGATGAAATTGTAACTTTTCCCTTTCATTAGTGCAGATAACTTTAATTGTCTGAAGACTTCTGATGAAAATTGTCATTTCTGACACATTCATATTTGACACTATTAGAATTTCTGAAACATTCACAATGTCACAAATGGGTATAAAAATATATAAATATAAAATTTTGTATTTTCAGTAAATACGCTGAAGGCCTAAACCTGTCATCTCTGCACTATAAATGTGTGTGTGTATGTGTGTGGAAAATCCATACACTGTCTGTATGCTCTTCGCATATACATAGACACTTGGCAGTAGCACTAATATAACCTCAATGAGCAGCCTTCAATCTAAGAAAGATCTCCAATAGAAAAAGGTATTTGTCGTTTAAATATCGTGGAATTGATATCCGTGGTTCATTAGAGGAGATACACTTGCCTATTGACTTACACTGCTCTTTGTCGAAAAAGAATTTAAGGTGGTAACAGTAAAAAAAACAAACAAACAAAAAAAACTCTTTAGGGAAAAAATGCATTAAATACCACCAGTGTGTAAAATGAACACAAAATAGAAGGGTTCATTTTATGGAATTGTGGTATTTAATGCAAATCATTTTTCAGTTTTCCTGAAAGCTCAAATGTAAAGATTATATGCTTTGAGGAAGTGATAATTATCCCCCTCACTTACGGTATGATATTTATTGTGTTTGCTTAAAAGTATATTCACTCAGAGGTGTTTTCTGCTCTCCAGTAAGAAGTCTTTCCAAAGAGAGGCCGGATATTAGAGGTGTGTGCATTCGCTGCTGGTTTTATAACGCTGTGTGAAAACAGCCACACAGCCTCGGTGGCACTGCATCACCTCCGGAGTCTGGGATTCAGTCGATGGCCGCCAGCCTGACTGTGGCACCTGGTCCCTGTGGGTTGGCCGGAGTTTCTCATGGCCTTGGATGGGCTCACTCACTTGGGTTAGGCTCAGGTTGGCTCAGCTGAGGCCACTGGAATGTCTTGCCTCTGGTCCCTGCATCTCTTGCCCTCCTGTGGGACTAGGGCACTAGCACAGCAGAGCGCAGTAGCTGAGGGTCAGCAGTGGCGGAGGACAAAGCAGAGCAAGGCCAGCGTTCCGCATCTCTCCTTGCATCACTCCTACTGTCATCCCATCAGCCAGTGCAAACCAGGTGGCCGAGCCCGACTCGGACCAGCCGGGTGTTGCAAGGTCAATGGCAGAGGGTGGGGATACATGGAGACTTGAAGAATTGGGGCCATTTAGGCAATCTCGCAGCGGGCCAGCACCCAGGAACCTGAACAGAAATATTTGAGCCAGAATTGAATCCCAGATTTTGTTAATACTTTCAATTTGTCGTTGTTGTTGATTTTTGTTTGTTTGTTTGCTTGTTTGTAGTTAAGCAGAATTTTGTATAAGTGAGGCTTCCAGTCTTGTACTTTTGTAAGAGCAGCCTTTGGCCACTGCAGTTTCTCCTTCACTGTAGTTACAGTGGAACCTTATTCTGGTGGTTTTTGCCTACTTTTCCAGTTCAGCTCACTTGAAATGGGTTCCCTGTCCGTCGAGGTATTAACTGGAACTATGCCGGCCGCTAAGCCTGGTGTCACATTCAAGAACATAATCAGCAAATCTTCAGTATTGTAGTCTGTGCAGTCAATGCGTACGTCACAACAAGGAGGGACAAAAGCAAAAAAAAGTACACTGAAACGTTTACATCACCATCTCTGCAGAACATTTCATAGTATGTTTTAAAATACCATGTGACTATCACAACTCATTCACAAAACTGTAGCCTCTCTATTGACTTTGACTTAATCGAAGTGTTCCCATGTAAAATTATTTTTGAACTACTACCAGTGCAGAACATTTGCTGTGATATACAGGCTTCTATTTTTGTCTTTAGTTGTCAGAATTCACATGAATTTTGTTACATGTACGTATCTCAGAAAGTATTGGGATGAGGATTGATTTTACAAGTAACATTCATCTGTATCTCAGAGGACCAGAAGGCAAATGTCTCAGAACGTTAGTTGATGCTCTTCCAGAGGTGAGCAAGGCACATCAAATTGGCGATTTTTTAATATTTATCTCAAATGGGTATCTTAAAGTTTCTTTAGAAGATTGCAAACACTGCTTTTGCTTTTGAATTTTGCGGATTAAAAGTAGATGGGCATTATAAGAAAATTATCTGTCAAGATTGTGTTCTTTAAAAGGTAAGACTTAAGTATTGGATGTAAATTTGATATTCATTTGGATGATGACTTCAGCTTTAAAACTGGGGATAGGAGGAAAGTGGGGAAGACTATAATTGTTGTCTGTTTTTCTCATTATTAATAACTTTCATGACTGCTTTGGATTTTCACTTTTTTATGTGTTTGTTTTGTTTTTTTAGGGAGAAGTGATAGCACTGGATAAAATATCCAACAAAGTAGAAAAAATAAAGCAGAATGCATTATTGTTAGGGCTAAAATCCATCAGGGCATTTTGCTTCGATGGAACAAAGGCCCTTAAGCTTGATATGGTTAAGGACACAGATGGTGAGTTAAATTTTATCTTTTCAAGGCTTTTATAATTGGCATTTACAAACAGATTGTCAGATTTTGCTACCTATGTTCTAGCTCCTAAATATCCATAGGGCCTTGGCATGGATCTAAGGTATTTTGCCATAATAGATGTCTTTTTGCTTTTCATCTCATCTTTGAATATCAAGTTTTTAATACAGAATCAAACCTCCAAGACTTGGTCAAACTCTTTGTTCTTAACCTATTTGTTTTATTTTATTTTTTTATTGAAGTATAGTTGATTTACAGTGTTCTGTTAATTTCTGCTGTACAACAAAATGATTCAATTATACATATATATACATTTTTAAAAAATATTCTTTTCCATTATGGTTTACCACAGGATACTGAATATAGTTCTTTGTGCTACACAGTAGGATCGTGTTGTTTATCCATTCTATATAAAAGCTTACATCTACTAACTCCAATTTCCCACTCCATCCCTCCCCCAGCCCCTCCCCTTTGGCAACCACAAGTCTGTTCTCCATGTCCGTGAGTCTGTTTTGTAGATAGGTTCATTTGTGTCATATTTTAGATTCCACATTTAAGTGATATTATATGGTATTTGCTTTCTGACTTATTTCACTTAGTATGATAATCTCTAGTTGCATCCATGTTGCTGCAAATAGCATTGTTTCATTCTTTTTCTATGGCTGAATAGTATTCCATTGTATATATGTACCACATCTTCTTTATCCATTCCTCTGTCAGTGGACATTAAGATTGTTTCCATGTGTTGGCTATTGTGAATAGTGCTGCTAGGAACATAGGGGTGCATGTATCTCTTTGGATTAGAGTTTTCTCTGGATATATGCCCAGGGGTGGGATTGCTGGATCATATGGTGGCTCTATTTTTAGGTTTCTAAGGAATCTCCATACTGTTCTCCACAGTGGCTGTACCAATTTACATTTCTGCCAACTGTGTAGGAGGGTTCCTTTTTCTCCATATCCTCTCCAGCATTTGTTATTTGTAGAGGTTTTAATGATGGCCATTCTGACCGGTGTGAGGTGGTATCTCATTGTAGTTTTGATTTGAATTTTTCTAATAGTTTAGCAATGTTGAACATCTTTTCATATGCCTACTGTTCATTTGTATTTCCTCTTTGGTGAAATGTCTATTTAGGTCTTCTGCCCATTTTTTGATTGGGTTGTTTGTTTTCTTTTTGTTGTTGAGTTGTTTGAGCTGTTTGTATATTTTTGAAATTAAAGCCTTGTTGGTTGCATCATTTGCAAACATTTTCTCGCATTCTGTAGGTTGTCTTTTCTTTTTGTTGATTGATTGTTTCCTTTGCTGTGCAAAAGCTTGTAAGTCTGATTAAGTCCCATTTGTTTATTTTTGTCTTTATTTCTGTCACCTTGGGAGACTGACCAAAGAAAACATTGGTATGACTTATGTCAGAGAATGTTTTGCCTATGATCTTTTCTAGGAGTTTTATGGTGTCATGTCTTATGTTTAAGTCTTTAAGCCATTTTGAGTTTATTTTTTGAGTATGATGTGAGGGAGTGTTCTAACTTCACTGATTTACATGTGGCTGTCTAACTTTCCCAGCACCACTTGCTGAAGAGACTGTCTTTTTCCCATTGTATATTCTTGCCTCATGTGTCAAAGCTGTGTGATTGACCGTAGTTGTGTGGGTTTATTTCTGGGTTCTCTGTTCTGTTACATTGATCCATATGTCTGTTTTTTGTGCCAATACCATGCT